TTTTTTTTTTTTTTAACATATAATGTATTATTTGTTTCAAGGTACAGGTCTGTGATTCATCAGTCTTACACAGACTACTGCTCTTTGATCCAAGTCCCTATATTTCCAGGAGTAAGTTCGAGTGAATCACACTTTCCAAGGATGTGCCCCAGAGTCAAGTGGGTATTGAGTGCAAAGGGCAAAGCCAGTATCTACAGCAGCAAACAAAACAGAAATAAAACCAAAAATCCAACATTTGCCACAAGCCTGCATTAGACCCAACATTATTTCTACCCATGAATTGGAGCTGCAGCGGCCATGTACAGTATGACTTCAGTGTCTTTAAGTCAGGGCAAGTGGTTCTGAAATTCCGTGGGAATTGGCATTTCCAAGGCAGCTGCCTGGGCCTGAGCCGCACGGTGCACCCGGGTTTCTGCAGGCCCCATGTTCCTACCCACGTGGTTGTTTCCATTACCACAGAGCCTGCTGGGGCTTTTCCAAGCTGGACCCTGGGCTCAGACACGAGTCCATGGAGGCAGCCTAGTCCTGAATGAGACCCATAGGCCACTTGGATGACACTAAAATAGACATGTGAAGTCCTGGCTTAGTTGACAGGGAGGGAGGGCCGGGAAGCTGTTCCCAAACACATCCACCTGATGGAAATATCCTGAGCTGGAATGAGCCGTAAATAAACTAGACTGTGCTAAAAACAAACATCTCCAGGGAGTTGGGGGGCGGGCAGAAATAGATGCTCTTCACCTGCTGAAAGTGAAGTCAAGGTCAAGGGGGAAAGGGCGAGGAGGGATGGGGAGAGGTGAACAATGCAGATGCCTCAGCAGGGAAAGCAACTGATAATTTATGTTCACCGAAGAGTTCTCCAGTTTCCAAGAAGAAATAAGAGAATTGCTTTAAATGATTCAGGGTCTTTCATCCATGGAAGCCCACAGAGAATGTGGGAGTGAAGGGAGGGCATATATGGTCTGGAAAAATCAATAGTGAGGAGTGCATATTAGCCACATGAATGTGCCAGCCTCCGGTACTCCTGGCGGGTGGAGACTTTGCGGAAAACCGCAACCTCAGCCCTTAGCCGTCTGCTGAGGCCAAAGAGCAGGAAAGGAGAAAATGCCTCTGGGGCAGGCGGGGGGACGGGGCGTTGAGAGGGTTCTGGAGGGCTGATGTGTGGCTGCCACCTTCGCCCTGCACCCAGGGCAGGGGGACACCATGGAAGCTGCCCTTCTGAGCTTACTCAACACTCTAGGAAAGACACTTGAATGAATTTGAAGAGGAATATGATTGGCACTGATGTCAAGTTTTATAACAACAAAGCTGTCGTATTTTACCCCCTGAGAGAGAGAAAGCAGCCCATGACAGGTGGAACAGATCTGCCGCTCACAGCTAGGCCCCGGTGTTCTGTTGGATGAAAACCATTTCATAGAACAGCATCAGACAAAGGCCAGTCTGCGACTGTGACAGCCCATGACAGAAACAAGGCCACTGTGTCACCGTACCTGACACAGACAAAACAAGACCTCCATTCAACTGCAAACATGGCCAACCATCCCTCTGTCCTTGCTAATATGAGTGACGGCTTCTGCTTTATCACCCACAGCTTCTGTCTCCCTCTGCTCTTCTCTTCTAGGTAAGAATTAAGGTAGTCATAGACTAACTTCCCGACCACATCCAGTCCAGAACGGAGCCAGACTTTGCTTCCTCGAGAGTCTCCCCCAGCATCACCTAGTGAATGCCCCAATCCTAGAACAAATCCTTTCTAACACCCTCTTACGAGATGCTGCACAGTCCCCTGGGGGTGCGTCCTCCCTCACGATGAGCCAATAGGGCCAGTTTTGTGCAACAATACGTGTGCTCCTGATGGCGTTTGGTTGGAAGCCCTTGATACTATATATCTCAGGTAGTAGCCATGGGAGCCACTTGCCGCCTTCTGCGCTCCTGACCTGTATTTCCACCCGCATGTGGAAGAGTGTGGAGATCAAGAGGAAGAACCCTGGCAGTTGTATGACCTTGGGCAAGTTGCTTTACCTCTCAGCCTCAGTTAACTGATCTGTAAAGTGGGGGTGATGATAACAATAGTATTAACTCTCAGGGTTGCTGTGAGGATTAGGTGAATTTATATGTGTGAAGCACTTCAGTGGTGCCTAAGCATGTGGTAAGTGTTGGGGTTTTTTTTTTAGTTATTATTATAAATTCGGCAAGCATTTGTGGAATATCTAGTGTATGTCAGGTACTGTGCTAGAACCTGGGGATTGAAAACTGGCTCCCATCCTCCCAGAAAGCACTGTAGTGAGGGAGATACAAGGAAACTGTTTTATCCCACAGGTAAGAACTAACATGGGGGTAAACGCAGAAAAAAAACATGGCAGGACTCTCAACCTTGGCCTGGGAAGTCAAGGAGAGCTTCCTGGTGGAGGCAGCACCTGACAGTTCTTGATGAATGAATAAGAGTCTCCAGGATTAGGCTAGGTGGGGGTGGAGGGGACGAGTGGGATAAGAGCAGAAGGGCTGTGGCAGCCATTCAAGCTCCAAAGGACTTGCTGACTGCAGGTCTGAAGCACCAGTCAAGCATCTTTCTGTACCTCCCTGCCACCCCCACGGCCTGACCCAGTGCCTGGCAAAGTATGTGCTCGAATGAACAAACATCTAACACCAAATTTGACAGCTTTCCCCACAAACCAGTGCCTCCTCTGACTTTTCCATCTCCTACTCTGATCACTGTGGTCCCAGGTCCCTGCAACCTCGAAACCACCCTTGACCCTTCCTCCTCTTGCGCTCCTATGACCCACTGCTCCATTGCTTTCTCCTCAGTGATGTTTGCGTCGGTCCCTTTCTTTTTGTCCTCACGGCTTCCGTGGCCCTGGCAGGCCACCCCCACATCTGGCTGCTGCAAGATTGTATTGATTTTTTAAATTGTGTGTGTATGTTGTATGATTTATGAATTTCATTTCAGGATCATAGAAGGGTCTTCACAAAATCTTTCTTACAAGAGGAGGCACTGGGTCAGAGAGGGCCGACGATCACTGGCACAAGCTCATGGAGGGCTCCTCCATCGGGGAGTGAGCGTGTGGGTGTGCACGGGGCCGCCATTCCCAAGGAGCACCTACCAGCTGGCTGAGGTCCACAGCCAGGTCCTGGAGCCCAGGGTGCAAACAGTATGCAAGCATGGGCCCCTGAGACATAAGACTGAAACTGCTGGGTTCATGGCCGAGAGGCATGCGGTAAAGTGACCTGCCCATATTCTGTGAGGCCAGAGGTTTGACGAAGGGGTAGAGGTGAGGGTATCATCATGAGACCCAAACTGGGAACTGTAAGGTTACAGCTTGTGGCAATTACGGGTATTACTGCTGTGGATATTCTAGTACATGTGTTTTGGTGAACATAGACCCACTTGTCTGTTGGTAAGTACCTAGGAGTGAAATTGCTGGGCTGTAGGGGATGCCCGTACTAGGCTTCAGGAGACAATACCAAGCAGTTTTCCAAGGAGGTTGAACCAACTTACACTCCCCCTGGCCAATGTATGAGTTCTGTTTGTTCCACGTTCTTGCCAACATTTGTTATTTTCTGTCCTTTTCAGTTTAGCCATTCCGGTGGGGTATGTAGTGGTTATCAACCCAGTGTTCAGCAGCTGTGGAATGGATAAGTAGATTGTGGTCTAGTCACGCAATGGAACTCTATTCCGCATTAACAACCACAAGCAATGCCCAAATGACCCACAAACGCTTTGTTGAGCAGAAGAAGCCAAACACAAGAGTTCATGTTGTCTGATTCCCTTTATATAAAGTTCCAGAATAGATACAGTGATTCTCTGGGGTTAGAAGTCAGGATGGTGAAGAGGGAGGAGCACAGAGATTGGACAGGAGCTTATGGGGCTTGTGGATGCTGGAGAGTTGTGTGTTTTGATCCAGAGGCTGGCTTCGAGGGTGTGTTCACTTTGCAGAAATCTATTGGGCCGTAGACTCATGATTTGCATCCTTCTGTAAGGTATACTTCAACATTGAGCGTAAACTAACATTACACTAGGGCAAGGCCCCATGTTCAATGAGGCTATCAGGGTCCAAGGCCCTCCTTTCATCTCACACCCCCGTATTGAGTCATTAGACTGTAAACTCTTTAGTGAGCCTGGGTGACACCAACTGTGTGTGTAGAGTTTAGAGTCAAATAGATGTCTTAAATCAGGGCTCTGGGTCTCTTATAATCAACGCCACCTCAGGCCCTGGCTGCCCCCTCCCTGAACAATTCTCTCTGAGCACACTTTCTAAATAATTACCAAACGCTTCCTTCTCCTCCGCTATTAGAAGTGCATTATAAGTCTGAACTTTGCATTCCTTGTCACATCTACAAAATGACAAGTCAGTCCCTGAAGAGGGAGAAATGGAACTTATTATGGTCACAGTGTCCATACCATCTGCTTGTTTATTAACCATCTTCATTCAGCAAAGCCTGGGGGAGGACTCCATCAAGTAGCAAACAGAAGGTGCACTCATATCTAGTGGGTTAGAAATCAGATTCAGAAATCTGGGGTGTCCACATGAGTCTCCCTGGGGTTCAGTGGGCATGACAGAGGCCCCGGCACTAACGAGCAGCAATTTTCTCTGCACAGCCCTTCCCGGCCTGGATCAGAAGAAGCGTGGCGGCCACAGAGGATGCTGCCTCCTGACGCCCCCTCCACCCCCACTGTTCCCACCACCATTCTTCAGAGGGGGCCGAGGTCTGGTGAGTACCTTAGGGCTTGTGAAAAAAAACAGAAATGCAGGCTCCCCAGTGCCCGCCACACAGCCCCTCACGTCCCCCCACTTGAGGTGAGCGACCTCCAGATCCTTCTTGAGGGATCCAACCCATTACTTTCACACAGCAGGTTGAACCCTAGAATGGGCATTTTGCAGTTTCTGGTGTGTGTCTGTTCTCCCACTGTCTTCAATAAGTTATGGACGGAGATTCTTCTCAGCAGGAAATTGAATTTGACACAGCATCCCGTCTTCCTGAGAACAATGAGGTGAATTTAGAGCTTTTGAGGCTCCCTTCAGCTGCTCAGATATGGAATTTCCCCTTTCTTCCCAAGTATTTATGAAATTCCCTTCCATAGCCCATATTGAATGTAGGCTGTTTCTGTGAGGGGACACAGGACATGGTCCCTCGATAGCCATACTGAGGTGTGAGAGGGAACAGAATTTGGGAAGAGGGAAAGAGCAGGATTTGGGAAGCTGAGCTAGAAGACAGTGGGCCAGGATATTCTAGGGACTTGGGATTCTCAAATTTTTCCAGAAATTCTAAGACCTGTACTGTCCAATGCAGTAGCCACTAGCCATCCGTGACTTAAACACTTTTCATGTGGCTAGTTCCAGTTGAGATGTGCTGTACGTATGGAATACACACTGGATTTTGAAGACTTAGTGTGAAAAAAGAATAAAATGTCTCATTAGTAATTTTTAAATATTGAATAGATGTTGAAGTGATAATATTTGGGACATACTGGGTTAAATATATGATTAAAATTAATTTCACTTCTTTCTTTTTACCTTTTTTATGTGGCTACCAGAAAATTTAAAACTACATATGTGGCTTGCACTGGTGGCTTGCATTTTATTTCTGTCGGACAGTGCTGTCCTAGACATTGGATAAAGGCCCCTGAAATGAGCTTCCTAACTCCATCCAAAGTGGCTATTCTATCTCTGTAATCCATTCAAGCCAGGTATGTCTCAAGAGAGAACAGGAACTGGAGGCCCAGAAGGTCGTCTTCTTGGGATACTCTTTAGGGTGTCAGGGAACCACCAGTCTTGAGGACTGGACTGGGGAGCAGGACTGTGTCCAGGTGGTGACCCTTCTTCTGTCCCCCAAGTCTGACCTATCACCATATGTTGCTTTGCATTGAAGCTTCTCTCCCCAGACATGAAGAATCTCATCCTGGAACTAGAGACCACGCAGTCCTCATGCGCACAAGGATCGCTCGGCTCCCCTGGGCCCCCTGGCCCCCAGGTTGGTACATTCCACCAGATCCTCTCCTGCTATCTTCTCTTCAGAGCAGTGAAGCCCACTGGAAAGAGTCTCTTAGAGCTGCCCCTTTTAAAGTGATATGGGGGCTGTTTTTCCTTCTCTAGCTCACCTCCAGCTCCAGAGCCACGTGGATAGCACACTGATTCTTCTGCTCTGGGTAAATTCTGGCCTCCCAGCCTTGATTTCCCCATCTCTGCAACGGGGATAATAATTACCCCTGCAGTACTGGATTTTGGTGGTGGTGAGGGGTCCAAATGAGCTGCTGCCTAGATGGATGTAATTGTTACTATAATTATCATCAAACACTTGGCAACAGGGGGTTGCCCCTTCTGTGACCATTGACCCTTGCCAGTTGCCCGAGAAGTGCCTGCATTTGGTGCAGGAAAGTGGAACTGATGGGGAACTTGTTACTCTGAACTTCATTTGGCCCCCAGATCCTGCAGCCAGGCAGCCCACCGCTCCCCACTGAAGCTAAAGGGCAGAGTGAGGAATAGGCACAATGGTGGAGAAAGGATTTTCTAGGCAAACAAAAATACCCTCCAGAGACCCTGTCTCACAGGCCGTGGCTCCTCTGGCCTGCCTGGGAGTAGGGGTCCATCAAGGAGGAGCACCCCCTGGCCTGGGCCTTGGGGCCTGCCATGGGGTGGGGAAAGAGGGTACAAGCAGCAGTCAGTTGCCCACATGCCTTATGAATTCTGTCATTCCTTTCTGGGTAACCCCCTCCTATGGCTTCCCATCACGGGAGACTAAGAGCCAAAGTCCTCGCCCTGGGTTACAGAGCCCCCCACCCCCCAGAGGACCCTGCCTGTATCTCCTGCATCGTCTCAGACCACCAATATTGCCCACCCGATGCGCATCTCTTGGGTCCTGAAGCATGCCAACCAAGCTCGTTCCAGCCTTAGGGCCTTTGTGCTTGTGGTTCTGGCTGTGTGGAATGTTCTTCCCTCTGATTTTCACCACGGCCAGCTCCTTTGTCAGAACAGTTTACAGGCCAGCTCCTTAGAAATGCCTTCCTCAACCACCCAGTCTAAAGTAGCCTTCCCCCCTTCACTGTCCATCCCAATGGCCTGTTGTAATTCTCTGCATCATTTTCTCATCTCGCTGTTGCGTTCTTATTGGTTTTGTTATTGTCCCTGGTCTCTTTGGTCTTCCCTTTGTAAAATATAAGCTCTCTGGCAAGGACTGGCCTACTGTGGCCTACAGGTCTGGCGGCCGCCTGTTTTTGTAATCAAAGTTGGACTGTCTCGGGCTGCCTTTGTGCCACAAGGGCAGAGGTAAGTGGCTGTGACAGGGACACTATATCCGAGGCAGAGTCTACAGTATTTATTGTTTGCCTCTTGACAGAGACAGTTCACCCACCCCTGGTCTTGAGAGCAGGGACATTGCCCATCTTGTTCACATGTTGCGCCCAGCCCACGCCAGGGCACGGGTTGTCGTAAGCTCTCCATAAATATTTGTCAAATGCAATAAAAACAGGCCTTTGGACCCAGAATTAGCTGGACGCTGCCACAGAGGGGCTAGGAAGTCTGCAGAAAGGCAGGATGGGCCCCCTGAGGGGCACCTCCGCTGAGAATTTCCATCTTCCCGCGTCTGGCAGTCTCCTTGGGTCTCAGCACACACACGTGAGGACCAGAGAGCTTGGGAAGGAAAGGGGAATTCTCTACTGACTTCAGACCAGCAGCTGTCCAACCGTGCTTGTACACCTCGAACCTCACGCAATCCCTTTGAGTTGTGCAGAGATTGTGCTGCCCAACCGGGGTGGGGGGGATTTGCAGCCCCCTCCGTTGCCTTAGAACACAGCGTAAAATGCTGTTCCCAAGCAAAATGAGATCTGTGGACCAGTAACATTGGCATCACCTGGGAGCTTGTTAAAAATGCAGAATCTCATTCTCCCCTCCCCCTACATACACACACCCCTGCTATCTGAATCTGCATTTTAACAAGACTCCCCTGCTGCATTATCTACACATCACAGCTTGAGAAGCTCTGAGCTAGAGCACAATGGCCTGATAATAAGAAATGAGAGAATGGAACAGTATTCATTCATCCTGCCTGGCATGTGCAGGGTCCTGGGGCTCTCTGTCACCCTGGGCTCCCAGGCTTTGGGGAGTGGGGAACCTCTGCCCCTCTGAGTCACACTTTCTGGGAGCACTGGTGCCCCCCTGGGCTTTGATCCTCGAGGACTTGTATACCCTGCACCTTGTGCTATCCGCCCAAGCTGGCCCACGCAGCTCTGAAGTGAAGGCATGCAGCACTGAGGGCCAGGTGGTGGGGCCAGTGCAGTCCCCAGTGGGTCACCAGATGGGTGAGTGGCTGGGGAGGGAGGGTGGTGAGGCCACCCTCCCAGGAAGCCCTCTTTCCACACAAGGATGCCCAGATCAGGAGGAGTGGGGAGAGAGAGAAGTGGGGAGGAGGGGAAGGTGGGAGGGTGAAAGAAGTGGTGCGGTGGAGGGGAGGGGAGGGAGAGAAGGGGGAGAGTAGGAAAGGAAATGAAGTAACTCTCCCTCCACCCCATGCCCCCCCAAACCAGAGACTGTGGTTCCCAAACTTATCTGTTCATTGGACTTCCCTGGGAACTTCAAACATTCCTGAGGCTCATGCCCCTCTCCTCGAGATTGTGATGTAATTGCTCTGGGGTATGCCTTGGTGTTGGGGATTTTCAAAACATCCTCAGGGGATTCTAATGTGATAGGTGTGGGAGCCGCTGAGGGAGCTGTTTGGTATTTGGACAAGTCTTACAGGAATCAGATTTCAAACAGGCTTTGTGTCAGGCGTGTTCACCTGCAGATCTTGGGGATGAAGTAGTGGCCTGGTGGGGGTTGATGGATTTCCTCTCTGCTGTACTAGGGCATTTGGAAAGCAGTTAGCCTACTGAGCATTTCATAGATGTGTGAGCACAGAGTAGCTGCATTCTGGCTGTGGATGTGCCAAGCTTTAGTGTAGTAGGTGCTAGAATCCCTGAGCTGGAGTCAGCCCTACTCCTGTGGCTGGACAATGGGACAAAAATGCTCCATTGCCCATATTCTTCACATCTTCAGGAAGGCTTTCCCTGCATCTGGTGCCCAGAGATCCAGCACAGGAATTTCTAAGTTGGCTGCTCCTGTGTGCAAATCAGAATGTCCCCCCTGTCAGGGTCCCAGGGAAAGTTGGTGAGAGCAGCTGAAAAGATAAGAGAGGTGGTAAAGACTCTGTAGTTGTAACCATGGCACCACTGGAAACATAGCTCAGAGAAAGCTGGAAGAGGACAGGGAGCCTGGGTTGGAGGGCACCAGGGGGTCCTTCATGGGGTCCTTGGAACCCTGAGTCTGCACAGGGAACCAAACTGCTGGAGGAGCCTCCCTCCCAGTCCTGCCTCCCTCACCACCTGTCCTGCCTTGGTTTGATATATTACTTTTTCATTTCTTATCTTGATGGTGTAGGGCCCACCGGGACTTCCTGGCAAGATAGGACCAAAGGGAGAAAAGGTATGAGCCACTACTTTCTTCAGTCCACCTCTCCTTGGTAATTCCAGCCTGTATCCTGGGGATGCCATGGAGAATTTTCTGGTTGAGATTTCAAAGCATGTGCTAATTTTGCCTTAGTGCATGAGGATGGGCTCCATAATGATGGGGCTGCTACTGCAGCCGTGAGATCCCACTGGTGTATTTCAGCTTGGCCCACTGACATGGCAGGGGTGCTGTGAGCGGCCAAGCAACCAAGCCACATGGTCATGCCCAGCCATCAGCCCTACTAAGCTCTGTGCTTCCAGAACTTCTCTTCCAAAGCAGCCTCTGCTTACCTGTCTTCTTCATCCACAGGGGGAGCTTGGCCTACCAGGAAGGAAGGTATGGTCCATGCTGTTCTGTCAGCATTACATGGGCAACTGTGCACCGCGGGCGGGGGGAGGGCGTGTGCCTGGGCACGTGCGCCATGCGCTCTTAGGGGTGGGGGGGGGACTAGCAGTGCACTTCCCTGGGCCACAATACCCAGGTGGACAATAATAACACTGCCATTTTGATGATGACAGTGGGCTCTTTCTGCCTGTTCTTTTGCTCAAGAGCTAGAGCCTGCTACTACCAGACATTTGGACTTCTCCCAGGGGCTGCCAAGCCTGGCCAAATTTCCCCCAACCTCAGACCATCTCATCCTGCCACCCATTAGAGAAACCCTCCAAGGCCCCAACCAGTGGCACAAAATGACTCTTGCTGTCTATTTGATTACGCTGGAACAAAGTGCAAAACAGAAGCAAATGGCTTTTGCCTTTTGGCCCAGCTGAAATAAATGGGAGTTACTTAAGGTCACAGGCACTCTGAGTGAACAAAACACATGTCATCAAGACTCTCATTCATGTCAGGAAAGAGTAAACCAGCAGCCACTCACTGTGGTCAATGGATACTGGCACTGAAACTGTGGGTCTCGGGGGTAGAAGGAGGTGCAAGACTTTGGCCAAAAAAGATGTCCATGATTCTAAATATAAATTACTATTTTTCTGGTTAAATGTTTTACTCAAATGGTTTCACTATCAACAGAAGCCTCAAACAGACCTTTGCAAAGCAAAATTACGTCCCTCCAGGGCCCAGATCACAGCTCCAGCTGAGGCACAGTGGTTATCTGAAGTGCTGGGCTGGAAAGGATTCTGGGATGGTCTCCATACTCAGAACTAATGAGGACCATGATTGATCATGGGCTGCCATGAACGTCATGACCTCTGCCATGAACAGGGGTGGCGAGAGCAGAAACCAGTACACATGCCAGCATTTGTGATCACTGGTTTAAGGGTTGAGCCTTCCATGTGTCTAGCTAGGCTAACTGTGAAATTAGCCAATGCGTGCAGAGGTTGAGATGGACCCCAAGTCCCTGCTCCCGCTTTCTCTTGTAAGGCTTGCTCTTCCATAGCTCCTGGCTTAGGCTGGTTTCCCTAGAAGCAGAGGTAGAGGCCACGTGTGCCATGTGCAAGCGAATGACTTATGGGAGCGCTCTCAGGAGGATCCTGGGGGGAGGGGGAGCTGGATGGTGCAGGGGAAGAAGCCCAGCTTGGGCACGGTGTCAGATGAAGTCCATCTTCAGCCTCATTCCTAGGGGAGCTCTGGAGTGTGAACTGCACCACAGAGTTTGTCCTGCCTTGAGGTAAGGGAGTTGGGCTGTTGGCTGCAGGGAGAACAGGTACATAAATTGCTGGGCAGCTCCAATTGCCCATGGGCAAATTTCACAGTTGCAGGTTGCAGGAATGAGAGGTGGCAGCAAGGCAGGTAGCCCCTGGGGGATGAGCACAGTGAGCAAGTGAAAAAGTTTTTGAGGGAGTACCAACAGCATCTGCTAGTGCACCCCAAACAAAATCCTATCCCATTCCACACTGTATCCTTGGGGAGAACCTACTGCAATGCAAGGAACATTTGGGTGGGTGGAGGTGATAAAGCTCAAAAACCAAGAAGTTTAGAATCCCTTCTCCACCACCTTCCTTTCATTTCCTCCCACCTTCTATTTCTTGGGTAGAATAAGATCTTCTATGTTGACATAATGTGATGCCAAGGACTTGAACTTATATCTAAGTAACCCAACTTCCGAGGCTATCAATCTTTGGAGGGTGAACCCAGACACCATGCTTAGGGACCCCACAGTTCCCTTTGGACCCCCAAAACAAATCTTATTTCCTGGAAGGAGGGAAAGAAACCCAATCATCCTGACTTTTGTTGTTCATTTTTGAAGGGTAGACCGGGCCCCCCGGGTGTTCCTGGCATGCCCGGGCCAGTCGGCCCCAAAGGACCCAGGGTAAGTTTGGCACACTCTCGGGGTTCACGTGGTATCAGAACATGAGGGGAGAAGATGTCAGCCCCTCTGGCCTTTGGCACATAGTGAACTCATTTCCTTGAGAGGAGGAAGGAGAAGAGAAGATGAGGATTGCCCAGAGGTCCCAAAACTTTCTCCTTCACTTGGACTACAAGACCTTGGTCCATGCAACAGCTCTGCTCCTGTTGGGGGGAGCAATGAGGGTCTGCTCCCCTCTTTCACAGGGGCCCTGGTTCTCCTTCGTCCTCAGAGTTAGCATACAATCTTTCGTTTCCCCAAGATGACCCCAAGAGGGGCTTGGGTCTGGAAAGCTATTGGCAGGAGACTGGGGGTTGGGGGGTGGGCCCTGGCTAGCTGGAAAGACTGGAATCCTACATTTAGACAGGGATTGCCAAATGCCGATAAAATCCCATTCTTCAGACAGATTATGGGAAACTGACACATTCACATCCATGCCTTTATTTATATTCTTCTCACTTTGGTCATAAAGTATTGGGTGTAGATTTGACCTGCAGAAATCAGGGATGGGCAGGTGAATGTCTTTATGCTCTGATTTACTTACCAGCTGTATTTATTATGGGAATAGAAAACTGTGCTCCCCGTGCTCTTAGGAAAAGTCCCAAGGATATTTTTTCTAAAAATCCACTGTGTAGAGCTAAACTGTCCAATATGGCAGCAACTAGTCCTTAAAATGTGGCTGGTACAACTGAGGAACTGAATTTTTTATTTAAGTTTGCATTTAAAGACCTTTACTCAGTTCAGTTATTTGAAAATCTTTAAGCATGTTTGGAGCAACTTGAATGTGTGAATCTGCTTTTTCAACTCTAAATTTTATGAAATCTAAATACAGATCAAATATTTTGATGAAAATTTAATGCCTGAATTGAGATGTGACTTAAATATAAAATACACAACAGGGTGCCTGGGTGGCTCAGTTGGTTAAGCGACTGCCTTCGGCTCGGGTCATGATCCTGGAGTCCCAGGATCGAGTCCCGCATCGGGCTCCCTGCTCAGCAGGGAGTCTGCTTCTCCCTCTGACCCTCCCCCCTCTCATGCTCTCTATCTCATTCTCTCTCAAATAAATAAATAAAATCTAAAAAAAAAAAAATACGCAACAGATTTCAAATATGTATTATGAAAAACAGAATGTAAAATACCTCACTAATTTTATATTGGTTATATGTTCAAATGATAATTAGATTAAATAAAATGTTATTAAAGTTAATTTTACCAGTTTTAATGTGACTTCTAAAAAATTCTTAATTAAGTGCAAGTACCTTATATTTCTACTTTTTAGCCCTGGTATATAATTTTTAGCACAGATGGTACAGAGGCCACCCATGAGCCTTAGCCCCCTGTCTCAGTAATGCATGCCCAGAGGCTGATGTTCATTCTGTTTGGCTGCAAACCTAGGGTGAGAGTATATGGAAATGCCTGAAAGGCCCTCCCTATGCAAAGAACAAAGCAGGTGAAGTTTTCTGGGGGTGCTGACACTTAGTCCTATGAGGCCCCAGTGCCCCCATGCTCTCTCCCCACCCTCTCACAACACACTCCAGGAATAGATGGAGCATTTATAGCATCTCAGCGTTTAGTTTGGAGATCTGCTCTGCCTGGGGCAATTTCATTTTATGTTAGTCTCAAATACCAGAATAAAATGTGGACCATAGAGCCTTGAACCCCTGGGAGTGAGCAAGGGGGCATGTGGGATCCTCAGATTCACCAGCCAGCCCCAATGTCCCTAGTTCCATCCTAATCTTGCCCATGATTCTCCTGGTTCTGTTTCTCTAGTAAAAGTCACTGTAGGTCCTTTCCCCTTCTTCTTCTAATTCCCACAGGGTGAAAAAGGTGACCTGGGTATGATGGGCTTGCCAGGGTCAAGAGGACCAATGGGCTCCAAGGTCAGTGTGTTGGTCCAGGTGGACATTCCCAGGTCTTCTTACTAAGGTTCTGGAACAGCTGCTGTCCACAAAGTCGGGACTGGGTGGAGCTGCCGTCCCAGGTTTGGGGAACGTCAGATATATTGGAAAGCCCAGTGCCAGAGTGCTTGCCTTTATCAGCCCTTTGGGGGACATGATGCCTGGGACAAAGGGCATGGAGATGACCTTCTCCTGGGCAGGGAGAGTCCAGCTTCTGAACAACAAAGCAGATGGAAACCTTTGTTCGGACCTTTGTGGTTAAGAAAAGCAATGTTCTTTTTAGGCCTGGTATAAACATAACCCTCAGGGACATCTTTGTGTTTACTGTTACAACCCCCACTAAAACTTGCAGCACCAGGTGGGGACACACCTCACCATCATATTCAGGGATTCCTTCCACTCTTGCACCAAACCCAAAGGTCCTATAGGGCTGATCCTAAATGTACCTTTTCCTTTCTTTTAGGGTTACCCTGGATCCAGAGGGGAAAAGGTTAGTGTTTGTCTCTGGTGGCTTCCCAGAACCTGGTCTGGGCTATTGGCTCTGGGGTCAATGATAAGCAGAGGACAGGCCCAGGTTTCTCTTAAGTTAGTGACTATAGTGACCATTCCTAGATATTCCCCTGTCCTTCGTCATTGGGCTGAGAGAGCAGTGAGGGGTCTCCGGAGGCAGGGCATGGGCAAGGGAGGAGCTCCAGTGGAGGTAGAGGCCTCTCACATGGAGCAGATGAGCAGCTGAAGGTTGTGCCCAGTGGAAAGGGAGCACTGCTTGCTTGGGGGGTACTGGAAGAAGATGGCTGACGTGTGTCTTTAGATTAAGCTTCCATCACACAACCCTCTCATCTGTCAAAAACCAAACCAAACCAAACAGAAAACCCAGCCAGAAACTGGGGACAAATTTCCTACAGGATGAGAGAGGATCTGGGACCCAGGATTTTCTGTGAGTTGTCTTTCATTAATGTCTTTCATTAATGCAAAGGGTCTTTGTGGTCCAAATAAAAGGTAGATCACAAAGCATTCCTTCCTTGGGCAAGTCACCTAATCTCTGAGCCTACTTCTTTGCCTGTAAGATGAGGGTGTTGGCTTAGGGAGCTTTCATTGTGAAATGCTCCAATTTTCCCCCCAGGGTATTAACTCTGACTCTCTGCTGTGGTTTCCTCCTAGGGATCCAGAGGTGAAAAGGGTGACCTGGGTCCCAAAGGAGAAAAGGTAATGGCCTTTGCATGGAATGATAAACTACAACGGAAGTGGCAGCCCCTTGTGGGCTGTCCAGCTGACTGGCTGGCTGACTGACTGGGCTCTTATCTTGAAAATGGCAGACCACACTCTTCCACAGCCCTCTCAGGTCCTCTCTGAAGAGATAGTCACTCTGTGTGTCACTCTCTTCACAGGGTTACCCGGGATTTCCTGGAATGCTGGGGCAGAAAGTAAGTACTTAAAAGTAGTAAGAAGGGGCCTCGGTAACAAATTAGACCTTCTACGCACTACACAAAGAGCTCTGCCTCTCTGTCCATCAGGCAGAGAAAGTGGGTTTTTCCATGGAAGGTTCTGGTTTGGAAGAGGAACAAGTTGCCGTGCACATTGATGAGAGGGTGCCAACATGGTCTGAGCCCTCCCTCCGATTCAGTGGGAGGGAGAGGACACCCCATCCGGGTAGAGAGGCCTTTCTTTGCATCTCCTACCTCTCAGATGGCCATGGTAACATTCAGAAGCAGAAGGCATCGTGACAGAGGGACCAGATCTGAGCTGCCATGGTCGTGGGCCCTAGTGTGAGGCACGGGCATCTTTGGCCTAAGACCATTGCTGGCAGCACTCAACTCAGACCTTCTTCAAGGGCACCCTTGGTACGCAGAGTTATTTTAGTTAAATTTTTTATTTAAACGGTTAAATATTTAGTGTGATTTCATGGATATCTAGCTGGGAACAAGGCTTACTAAATATGGAGTTCATTCAGTTGACTTGAAGAAAAATATCCAAAAACTAACAATAGAGTGGTGTGTAGATACAACAAAAATTGTGAAAGTGGCAATTGACTGGCAGATTTCCGGAAACTTCTACTTAAGGTTAGGGTCTGGCGAAGAATGGGGGTGGTGAGAGGAGGTGTCAGGGGATAAAGAGAAAGCGTGAGAGCGTACCTAACTGGCCACTGAAAACACCTCTATCTAACGTTGTAATGGTGGTTCCTCATGCTGAAAGCCAGTTGACCTGGGAGGTTGTCATTTTTCCCCAAGCCTCAGAGCATAGTATTCTTTAAACATGCAAATGAATGCTTTCTTAGAATCCTAATTGTTTTTCAAGTTTATCTTAAAGTTTTCTTTTCCAGACTCAAACAATTTTTGTCTGACGTTCATCCAGGAAAACATATTTAAATAATTTCAATCATCTGACAGTAATTTATTATTATTTATCACTGCCTTAAGCAGTTCCTGCTATTCCCTAAGTGGAATGTTGGGTTAAAAATAAATAATTACATAAGCAAGTTAAAGGAAACATTAAAAGAGAAAAAAAAATAATTTGATTTAAAAATATTTAGGCTAGGTTTTCATTCAGTGCAAGAGTGAACATCAAAGAATAATAAATTATTGTGGAATTAAGTATGACAGCTTCTCTGACCTCTGCACCCTTTACTGGACTTGCCATCTAGAGTTCTCTTTCCCTTTCATGGCAGGCTGTTTTGAGACAAAGATGATATGATAACAATAATTAGGTCTTAGAAATTAGATCAAGAACTTACTGGCTGCTTCCAGTTGATGAAGAGAGGGGCCAAACTTCCTTCTGCCAATCTTTAAAAAGAAACAAAAAACAAAACCAAAAACCACTTATACTCTTTATGCTGCTGTTTTGTCCAAGCCAGACAAAATACCCCGTGACCCCCTCTAAACAGCTGAGGAGAATTGTACAAACATCTCTGTAGCCACATAGAATCCGTGTTATCCTCCCCACACTTTTGAAATGCCTAGATGCTGGAGGACATGACAGTTGGGAAGAAATCACAGGTTTAAGAACAATTCTTGGTGTGGCAAGATGTTGATGGCTTGGATAGGGACAAGTTTGTTACATTGGCTGAGTGACAGATAATTTCAGAGCTTTATGCTTGGTCCTTACTCTGTATTAGTTTTTTCTGAAATTTTCTGTTGTGTTTTACTTCCTCTGACTTCCATGTGGAGAGCCTTCTGGGTGTTTGTTGTTCTCTCTGAGTGCCTGGGGTAGCTCTTCATGGACACTGGCTGCTGACTAACAGAAACTCTCATGGTTGCTCTTGCTAAACTTAGCTTGGTGGTGGTGCATCCTGGGCTCTAGAGGGATAACTGGAGGTAGGAATGATGTTCTGTGGGGTCCCTGACCCAAAGAAACAACAGGTGGCCCTGCAATTCCAGAAGAACACGGGGAAGGAGAGAAGCTATAATGGAGAAATGGGTTTGACAAAAGGTTGGCCTTAAACTATGGAATTCTGCAATTGGTGCATTTGGTTCTGATAGCTCAGAGTAGGGCTCTTCAATTAAGAGTACTGTTGACATTGCTTTCCGTGCCTTTTACAATAATTATATTGAGCATATGAATATATGTCTGGAATATTTTTCTCCACAGTTTTCAACTAACTCAAATGAAAGTGAGCTGGAACTAAACCGGTTTTTACAGAAGAGTAGGCAAATGTATAACGCTAAATAAATGTCCTTACATGTGGAGAAAATTTCCAAAGATGCTAGTTGTCAAAACTGTGTTCAATCATTCAAAAACTCATAGATTGGAATTCATGCTAAAAACGAAACACAACATACAATTTTGGCTAAAAGAGAAAGCATTTTTCCCCGGCAGCATGCCGTGTCATAGGCACACATGTCACTGACATGCAGGAATCTCCTACTTTGGCCATTCAGGATTGTGATTTGGGACACCAAAACATGTGCTGCCCAGCAGCTGTCTCTTTCAGATAATAAATAACCCACTTGGGGTAACCTTCTCCTTTCCTTCCTCTTCCTTGAAAAACCTATCTACCTTTCACATGACTTCATCACTTTCCCAATCTCCCACATTGGCCAGTTGGAAGAGGTCTAGAATGATCAAGTGCACTGCCCTCATGACCAATGATTGGATGGACCTATAGAGATGTGCCTGCTCCACATGCCCTAATTCTTTTCTTGCTTCTCTTTCTTCTTTCCAGGGTGAAATGGGTCCAAAGGGTGAGCCTGGGATAACAGGACCCAGAGGACCCAGAGGAAGACCAGGAAAACGAGGCAAGCTGGTAAGGATCCCAGTGCTTACCATGCCCCTGAAGTCAGACCCTCCTGATGTAGGCAGGTGGTGTAGAGAGGCAGACAGCTGAAGCCAATCAGAAATATTTCATAGGCACAGTCTCCAGTGTCGTCGAGGCTGGCGGGCAGAAAGAGCACCACTTCCAGGAGCTCCTGTTTCTCTAGGCTAACCAAGGGTTGAAGCAGGTGGGAGCGAATGCTCCATTCAAACCGTGTCCAAGGTCAGAAGTAAGAGTGGATCTTTGGTTCATAAGAATGGGTCTATCTTAACCAAAGCAACTGGGAGTAGAAGCCAGATCTGGTTGTTCATCCAGAAAACTTGCTTTTTGCCTCAATGCCCCAGACACAAATGGAGTTTTGGAGAACAGCCCAAATATCTCCTTGCTGTTGAAGGGTCTTCTGGGTCTCAAGGATACAGTGGTTTTTCCTAGGCCCCTGAGAAATCAGACACCCGATTTGTAAGTGACTCCACTCTCTTTATGGGCGCTATTATGGACTTAGGGAAGTTGTTTGAAATCCCCTGGTCAGAAGGCATGGGTGTCAAACCATGTGATGTGATAGGGAAAGGAAAGATGAAGGCATGTTTGCCTTAGCTGGCTTTAGAGCTGTGTTGAGTGCCTCAGAGAAACTCCTCATCTGTTCTCTAATGGACAGGCGTCCTTTACTTTTTTGGTTGTCAGTTTGTAGGCTTTTTACTTCTTTTCCCATTACAAGTGTAATATATGCTCATCACAGAAAACTTGGAAAATTCAGAAAATAGGAGGGAAGTCATCTAAAGGCCTAACACCCAGACATAACCATTTCGGTGTACTTCCTTCCAGTGTTATTTCTTTGTGAACTTCCTAGTTGTTCATGTCTTTTATATCCAGTATATAGTTGTTGTATCCTAAAACTGTAACTTAAAATCACAGCATACACATTTTTCCTCATTACCGCACATATTGTTTTTTTTAAGATTTATTTATTTGTGAGAGAGAGCGAGCATGCGCACATGTGCGCAAGTGGGGGGTGGGGAGGTGCAGAGAGAGAGGAAGAGAATCCTGAGCAGACTCCCCGCTAAGCACGGAGCCCGACAGAGGGCTCGATCCCGCGATCCTGAGACCACGATCTGAGCCAAAACCAGGAGTCAGACACAACCAACTGAGCCACCCAGGCACCCCCTCATTAAGCACTTTTAAACATCTTTTTAAAATGTCTGCAATCACATCTTGTAAATGAGTAAGCAGTAGATTGCTTGGACAAGAGAGGCCTAGCCAAATTATATGTAATGCTGAGAGGTGAACATCTTTGGGTGCAAACTTTTCTCCATTCTTATGTTTTCATTCTTTCCCTAGGCTAGATCCATGGTGCTCAAACTTTAGTGTCTGAGTAAGCTGGGGGCCGATTAGATACAGGTTTTCTGCCTCAGGTGCCATGGTTGTAGTTCAAGGTTTGCCTCTCATCACCCCCAGTGCCTGGGCCTTACTTCCCAGTGCATCTGATATAATTGACCTGGCTTGGGGCTCCAGCATGGGTGGTTGTTTTTTAAAGCTCTCCGCATGACTTTTTTTAAGATTTCATTTATTTATTTGAGAGAGAGAGAGTGAGCATGAACAGGGGGATGGGCAGAGGCAGAGGGAGAAGCAGACTCCCCACTGAGCAGGGACCCCGACGTGGGGCTGGATCCCAGAACCCTGGGATCATGACCTGAGCTAAAGGCAGATTCTTAACCGACTGAGCCACACAGTTGCCCCTCTCCACATGATTCTAGTATGTAGCCAGGGTTCAAAACAATGGTAACAGTATGAAACCAATTCTGGTCTTTTCCAAGCGAACTTAGGAATGACACAGCATCCAACCTGAATACAAATTCCACTATAACTTCTGAAGTCGCGGTAGTCCAGTTCAGTTTTCTAAGTCTTAAATGGCTGGCATGTCCATGACTTCACAGGGATGCCACAATTCCCTAAAAACTTGGCTCGGGAAAAGGAGAAAAAAAAGGGAAAATCTTTTTCTTCCCTACTGCTGGATTCCATGCAGAATGTTTTATGCTTGGGGTTCAAGAAGCCTGCTGGCTTCAGTCCTTCTGGTGCTTTTCTTGGACAGTGTTTGTCTTTTCCTGGTGACGGCTTGAGACAAGAAGGTTATTTCCTGACACTGTTGAGAATGATTCAGTCGGAGCAATCTTAAAACTACCCCAGGACCATGTGTGGGAGCTGAGAGAAATGAGTTCATCCTTCCTACAAGATGTTATAAACAAGCCGAGTGCGCTCCGAACCCTCCTTGCCTGTCTAGACAGCAGACTTTAGTTGTTAGCCTTGGGAGACCACCATGGTCCTTTTCTTTCTTTTTTTTTTTTAAATCCTTAATTAGTTTAGTACCATAGAGTATTATACATTGAATGTTGCTGGGCCAGTGGTACTAAGAGTTTCTGGATGTTATCATAAGTCGATCCAACTCCTGGAATCAGAGATCTGGAAGGAACTTCAGGAGATCCGAATTTCAGAGCCAGAAGGATTTTAGAGACCACCTCATCCATTTCCCTAGGTCTAGTCACAAGGAAACCGAGGGACAGGGCAGCAGAGTGACCCCCTCAGCCAAGCAAGCTTCCAAGGCAGCATTGGAGCTTAGAGAGCTGAGACCTACTTTCCCCCACACATCTCTCCTCACTTTCATGCTTCAGCATTTGCCTTCAACCAGGCTCAGGAAAACCGCTCTTGACTCTATTATACAAATCTTCAGTGAAGGAGACAGAACAACTTCCTTGAGAGACATCAAGCTTTGTGGCAGTAAAGTGAATAAAGAAGAATGCCTTTCCTGGAAAGCACTGCTCAGTGAATCCTGCTCATAGAGACATGGCTTATTCTAAACAAATGACTGATACACAGAATATTCCATTATTGTTTGGTGTCAGAATCAAGGAGTGCTTCCAGCTCCTTCAAGCTGTGACATTTCCTGTGTTCATAGTCAGCTGATGTGGCTTTTAGAAAAACAAGCCTTAACCGTGGCTATATTAAGATGGTGTGACCTTCTTTGCTATTCTGGGACCCATCTTAGTTAACAAGTGTCAGCCTGGGCAAAGGCTTAAGAACTCCCTCCATCAGGATGGAATTGGAAATAAACTCTGACCTCACAGGTCCCATATTAAGAATTTAAGAACTCCTAAAAATAAATAAATAAATAAGAATTTAAGAACCCCTTAGACATTGCCAGGAGAGACTGCAGAGCCATGTTGACAAAGCAGCAGGTTGCGTGTCACTGTTGTGATTGGAAAGGAGTGCCCTGCCCCCCTGCTTCCCAGACTTGGGGAAGATTATGTTTCATTACATGGGCAGGCCTGCCAAGGCATAAGTGTAGAAAGGGGATCCAGGTCAAAAATGTCCTGCCTCAATCACTGTCCTGTTTAGGCCCAGCGCAAGAGCAGACAATTAGCAAATTGTTTGGGAGAAGAACTTACAGACGTTGGTTTCTGGGGTCATTCCTCAGAGCAACCCTAAGGAGGAAATCTTTGCTCTTGACCGTCTCAGAACAGGCAGCAAGGAGGACATCCTGTGTGGAATGGCTACAGCTCCAGGTGTGCCTCTCTTTAAGAAATCAGGCCTTTTCTAACCACGTGAAAAAGATGAAACCAAGCCAGTTGCTATGATAGTCAGCTTGACCCCCACCCCCCGCAACACTTGGTTCTGTGCAAACCACTTTTTTTTATTTATTTTTTTATTATTATGTTATGTTAATCACCATACAGTACATCATTAGTTTTTGATGTAGTGTTCCATGATTCATTGTTTGCATATAACACCCAGTGCTCCATGCAGAACGTGTCCTCTTTAATACCCATCACCAGGCTTTTTCACCTCTGGGAGCTTTATTACTCTCACAACAAAGCTGTGAAGGTGTGTGTGTAATGTAATGGCCCATTTTATAGATGAGAAAACTGAGGCACAAAACAATGACTTGCATGACCCGAGGTCTCATGGCCAATGTGAAAACCCAGGTCTCTTACTTCCAGCTCAACAGAACTACTTCCCGTTTGTGTTGTCAACATCTTCCTCCTCCTTCATTTAATCTGGGAGCAAGACAAATTCTGGCCCACAGGGAGCCTATATTTCATAGAGAAACATTGATGAAAGGACCGCACAAATAATGGTGTGTTCCCGAGTTGGGTAAATGCCAGGAAGAAAAGGGGCCAAGTTCAGAGAGCCTGTGACCAGGAGAACTCACTCGGTCTGGCAAGGTCTGGCAAGGTCCGGGAAGGCTGTGCTGCAGTGACACTTTACCTGAGAGCTAACAGCTGGGAGGGAGTTAACCAGCTGGAGGAGTGGACAGGGAGTTTGGGCAGGGAGGAGGGAAATAAAAGGCATGGTGCTCTTGAAGACCGAAAATACTGGAAGACTGGAACAAGATTGGAAAGGCCAGCCATGCAGTGCTTTGTAGGCTGAAATAAGGATCTGGGTCTTTATCCTGAGAGCAACGGGGAGCCTTTTGATGGAAACGGCTCTTGTAGTAAAACAGAAATGGTCTTGACAAGCAAGCAGAGGCCTGAGTCCTAGGCAACAAGTCTGTTGCCTCAATGCTAGGTGCCTTGCATGAATTTCTGCTCTTTCCTGAGCCTCTGTTTCCCCTTCTGCCTGGTGAGGGGAGTGGGTTGGACTGGTTCCTTTCAGCAGTCATGTGCCATGTTTCTGGGAGAGAGCAAGAAGTAATGTCTGCAAACTTGTAACCATCACAATCTCAAATATCACTTGCCCTGAGTTTTTGTTTTGTTTTGTTTTGTTCTGTTGTTTAAGTAGGCTCCACACCCAACGTAGGGCTTTGAACTCACGACCCTGCAATCAAGAGTCACATGCTCCACCAAATGAGTCAGTCAGGTGCCCCTGCCCTGAGCTTTTTAGGAGCTTGATGGTCAAAGCCTCAGGTGCATCCTGCCCTGGGCTCCTGCAAGGTGGTCCCTGATTTAGACATAAATGGGGAAGGAAGGTTGCCATGTCATGTTATCATAACAGCCTCTGCCTTTCTCTCTGTCAGGGGCAGAAGGGAGATAGTGGAGTAACAGGCCCACCAGGCAAGCCTGGGCCTTCTGGTCAACCTGGCCATCCAGGTCCCCCAGGCCCCCCGGGCCCCCCATCCGCAGGTAAGAGCTACATTGCTTCACGTGATCTAAGCATCGCCCTCCTGGCCGCCCTTCCCAGAGAGGGCACAAGGAGATGCCGCAGAGATGCCTTGTGTTTTGAGTTAGAAACTACTAGAGGCACTTCAACATATTTATAATTTCTCCACAGTTTGGGTCTTTCAACTTTAACACAAGAGAGGTAAAAGCCATCCTGATTCTGTTGTAGGATTTTAGAGAACAAATAGAGGAGAAAACAAAGGGAACCCTCATTACACTGGTGATGTCATTTTATACTTCAAGTGAAAAATAACCAGCACATATTTCATCAACAAATACCTTTTTCTAAAAAAACCTTTCACAACTCCAAGCAGTTCTCTTAAACCTAGAAGATGGTGTGGCAGAGCTTTCTATCTTATGTAGTGTTATTAAAGAGTCCTTGTTAGTTTATACTGAACATACAAAAAAATCATAAAAAGAAATCAAAGTCTACCATTGAAGAGGGCATAGAACACTGCTACCTTGCTTACCTTGTTTCATTTGATGACCTAAAGCCTTTCTTTAGTTTGTACCTTTGTCAGCTCCAAATATGACCTTTCACAGCACATTCAGCATCTCTGGGCCTGAGAAGACTGTTTACTACATAGGGTCCTTTGTCCTCAGTTATACAAAAGGAATCCAAGCAATTTTTATTACCATTTCAGTTCAAGGGTCTGTTGTAGTCCTCATCCTCCTTGGTTCTGGCATGCGTAACATTCCCCTCAAGCCCCATGATCATGAGCTGCCAACCCCAGGGACCGAGAGTGTGGTGTGAGGCCCGAGTTTTGTCTTTGGAAGGGACTCTCTTGGCCCTTGGGGTATTGAGCGGCTCACAAAACTGAGGAGTAGCCAGGATCAT